AAATAAAAAAAAAACTTTTAAAAATATATATATATATATATATATATATATATATATATATATTAATGCTATGTTGTTAAAAAAAGTTTTATTTTTTCATTTTATATTTTTCTCTTATATAAATAAATCAAAGAAATTTATTTAAAATTTACTTTATGGAAAACATAAAATCATGGGATAGTGAAACCTATTTGGTGTAAATAATTACAAGTTCAATACATGGTAAAAAGCTAGGTCAAGTAATCATCCATTTGTTGGTATAAGAATAAAGAATATCATACTTCATTAGGCATAACATCAAAGCCTATTATTTCATGAATGTTGCCTAAGCTAAGGATACTATAAATTGGGGTATGTCTTGTATCTATATATAGTTTTTAATTCCTTTTACATAAGTCTAATCCCACATATCATTATCAGGGAAAGCAAAGTTGGAGAGATTAATTGACTTTCCATCTGATGCAACTGGATCATATGGTGAATCTTCCCCAAATTCACTTGGCATTGACCTCCAATATAGACTAGGTTCCCATTTTGCTTCTTTAAGGACATTCAATATCTCTCTTGACACTATCTTGCTTCCCTCATTTGAGAGATGAATTCCATCACTACAAAATAACCAAACCACCTTATCAAATACAAAAAAGAAAAGTAGTATAAACCCTATAATGACATAATATACTTCTCATTAAAACTTATTTTTACCTACAATATAAATATAATATATGTTAGTATATTATTAAAAAATGTAGACATAGATAATATTGACACACAAAATATATTATTGAAAGGGATACATGAGAGCATATATCTGCACATATTGCATTTATAGTAAAAAAAAATTATATATCACTGTATGTAAGTATGTAACATTTCTTGTAGTGAATATGTAAACTTGAACCTCTAGAATTAAGGGACACATGAGAGCATATACTTACATGAAACAAACATCTCGCCAATTATCCTTTTTCTGAATAGAAGACCACAAATCAATAGCTTTGACATTAATTTCTTGGCACACCTCCAAACATGCTTCTGCATATATTCGACAAGCTTCATTTGTCCTTAGTGGTAATCCCTGAGCGTTACTGATTTTATTACAACAATTTAATCATCATTTTGTAAGATCATATTAATTAAAAAAATTTAGGATAACAATGTCAAAGGTTAAGATTCAAAAGTCTTATAGTTTTTATCTTGAAAATGTAAATTCTTATATATCAACAGTGTTACATAACTATAATTTTAATATGCATAGTATATAAATATTTATTTCATACAACTAAATTTACAAGTTTATATAGTAATTATTTTAAAAATATGATGCATGGTAAAAATTAAATTTACTAGAATTTACAAATGTATGATAAGTTTATAAATTTTTATAGTAATTATGTTGAGAGAAAGTCTACGAACTCTATAAACTAGAAGTACTTGATTTATAATGCTTTCATGTCACCAATATTTCATGTGGCACAATTAAGTATAACAACTTTTCTCCTTATTGCTCCCAAAAAATTATTGTACAAGAATACTCATATATATTTATTATTCATTTTACATAATTATAATTCATAAATTAACTTTGACATCATAGTTTTTGTAAGTGCAACCATGGAGATTGACAAGACGACTTATAGAGAGTTAGAGACACCATCATCACAATTGTTTGGATCTATTATAGACATCATTTTCCCCAGTTTAGGACACGTTACAAGTGATTTTATTTGTGCATAACAATTTTATAGTTAAGGACATGTTTGTGTATATTTAAAGGGAGGGGACAAGTAGGTTAATGTGATATATCATATAATCACAATATAAAGTGACACTAATTAACACTAGTGATAGTGACCTATATTTTTTAATTAAGTTATTCAAGATTCAAATATTGATTTTAAGTATGAAATAGATATATTGAAAAAAATATATTTATTTTATATATTTACTATTCTTAAAAAATTATTATTATTTTTAATGATGAATATTTTATATCAATATTATAATTAAAAAAAAATCAAAATCTAGATGTAACAGTACGTAGTTTTGATTTTTGGATCCTTAAAGGAGTCCAAACACGTAATCGACACTTCTTATTATCTCTTTTATCTTTATCCCATGATAAATTGTGCTACTAATTATATAATTGACTTGAAGTGCAAGCATGAGACTTCTACTAAGAGCATTTTTAATGGAAGTTGCTTATAAGCAACTTCTTATGTTATATTATTGTCAAATCAGTTCTGACCTATTTTATGAGTTGTTTAAATTTTAGTAGAATTGTTTCTATAAGTAACTCTGCTAAAATTTAAACAACCCATAAAGTAAGCCAGAACTGATTTAACAGTGATGTAATACAAGAAATTGCTTGTAAGCAACCCCATTACAGAGATAGTGTAAGTATCTATCTACCTTTATGTGAAATTATGATAACCAATTGCAATCATTACCTATTGTCATGGATTTGTGCTTCATTGATGGGAGGAGTAGTGAGAAATATAGTGCGAGTCTTCTTTGAAAGACCCTGTAAATCATTGTCAAATTTAGACACCATCAACATAAAGATCAAGAAAACTTAGATTTACACACCCCATGCTATAAATTTCTTCCGTACGATAAATTATATTCCTTTTTTTTTTAATAGTTCTTTTAACGATTTTATACACAAATAAAAAATGTAATCAATTTTTCTAATTTAAATAAAATAATTTTAAAATTTCTTGTTATACCCCTTTTTATTTAATTCTACAATAAATACACTTAGTTGTAAATATATAAATAATTGAAAGTTAGATAAAAATAAGGATAAAATTGATTAAAAATAATTAATATTATTTTAAACTTTAAAAATAATAAATAATTCAAAATAATTCAAAAAAAAAATATTGACTATCAAGAAGAAACGAGGAGATATTAATATATATCATTATATAATTGAAATGTTCCTTTCAATAATTATTTTAATCTCCATTTTTATAAGCACCTTTTTACCTTATTTTATTTTACATATAAATCAAATTTTCTTTTTTAATATTTTTTTCGTCCCAGTTTTTTATTCGTTTTTGAATAACTGCATACGTAACTACCTACTACATAATTTATTTATTTATCTATACCTCTATAACATTATATAATGGAGATGTTCCTTGCAATAATTGTTTATCTTTATTTTTATATGGATTCTTTTACCCTCTTTTATTCTAAACATATAAGTTTAAACCATTTTTTCTCTTTTAATATCTTTTCATATAAATTTTTTATTCTTTTTTAAATAATTAATTATTCATATAACTACTTATTACATAATTTTTTATTATTTTAATTTATTTAAAAAAATAGAGAAGAACAAAATACCTTTTTTTTTTTTTTTTTTTTTTTTTT